AGAAAAGAGAGACATGTGATGTAGCTCTACATAAGATAAACATATTTTCCTTAAGAAGTTAACAGATATAAAGCTCATTTCTCAGTTGGAACTAGTCAGACAAGATTTGAAATTTTTGCTCCAAATAGAAATAACATTTGCTCCCATGGCAATGATTTGCTATTTCAACTCTAAACACACTCACAGCTTCTTGCTTTGCATGTATTTACTACTCTGAAATCAAGAAGAAAAAAACTCTCCAGCCAGTTTCACGGACGTCTATTATGATCTTTACACTTTTTTTCCCTCAGAACATTCAGCTAGGAAAAAAAAAATCAACTTAGAATGATTCTAAATTCTCCCAAGTAAAGCCTCATTTAGATCTACTCATTCACTCAACATAAAAGCATGTAAGTGATTTAGGAAAAGTTAGGCATGAGGAACAAGGTAGTACTTTCAAATCCAAATCTTACCTGGTAAATGGAAATGGAACAACACAGCACCCCTGAGAGTGTTCTTGATTTGCGCTTCTCTCTTCCAGACAGAACTAAATCAGAGCAGCCTATATTCTTAAACCCTCAAAGAAAAATCAGGAGGCTTGATCTGTGCACATAATAGCCTGCATAATGTAAGAAAGTGCCGTTTCTTGGCAACAAGAAAACAATCCTTTTCAATTAACTCAGCAATTGGCCCACATTTGTTGTTAAACACAGAGTAAAGAAAATTTTTTAAGAACTCAAATGAACCTGCTAATAGCTCAGTGAGAATGTCAGATCAGTATGTTCATTTTGAAAAGCATTTTTTATTAATTGACTATTCATTCCAATTGCCTAACCCAAGAACTTTTATCCACATGCCTGTCTCACTTCCCCGTGGCATATTATTTACTTAAAGCTCCAATCCTGAATAGTTGCATCCATTGTTGCAGAAACACAGTAAAAAATGTGAAAGATAATGATAGCAAGCCTGTGGCATGTAATGTTATCCTGGTCGTGGTCATTTTGCATACCATATTTGGCTATCTAAAATATCAGCATGAATGTAGCCCTGGATACTCATTAGGGTACATAATTCGAAACACTTATATGCTCTCTTAGCTGTTAAAGCAGACACTAATTTTAGAGAATATGTAAGAAGTGCAGATGGGCTAGGTTCAGTTTGTGCTGTTTTGTGGGTTCATATATACTTATGAGAATATGATGAAATCTTTGGACAATGCTTAGGGTCTATGCATTCTCACATATATATTGGAAATTTCATATATCCAATTTCATGAATTAGGATTCATATGTGAGACATCTAATAGGAATCTTTGTTAAAAAAGGGAAGTGGTGAGGAAAATATACATAATTTGTGCTGTTAGCCGAGTTTTACCATTGCAAATAGTAAAGTTTTAACTATCTGGTATGGTTCTATCTCCCAAATGAGAAGGCAGCTGAAAATGGATAATTTCCATCTATAGCTGAAGCCAAGGGGGTGAATTTTGTCTTTACCACCCCTCCACTTGCCAAGGTTAACCAAGAGTGTATGGATATTGTGGTATTTGCCTTCAACAACTCTTTTGTTTTCTCCTTTTATCATCCAGATCTCCCTAAAATGTGTCAACTTTGTCTTGCTATCATTAATGGGCAATTCTTAGATAATATTTTTAAAGATACAGCCTTTTGAAGGCATTGTCTTCATACAAAGCACTCTCTATTGGTGGGAATTTAAAACAGTGTTGTAAACTGTTGAAGGCGATGTATTTGGTTAGACCTTCTGGCACCTTCAAATCACACTCTCAACAGCTGTGTACACTTTTCATGGGTAGAACTGGCTGGGATCATTTCACAAGTGTTTCTTCAGCTCTTGTGCCGACTCTTCCACGTGCCAGTGCTGACTTCAGGCAGATCTGTTAAACAGTTTGTGTCTCAGTTCCCTTATCTGTCAAATGAAGTTAATATTTATGTCCTAACGGTTCACTCAGATCACATAGGTGAAGCTTTTTAAAACAGTGCCCAGCAGCTGGTAAATGCACAAAAAGCTTAGCTATATTATTAGCATTGTTGTTGACTATAGAGTTCCTGAATTAAATAACTTTCAGGGCTCTTTTCAGACTTAGGATTTCCAAAATCCAATATAATCCTTATATAACAATGTAAAGTAACGTAAACAAAGCCTCTTGAGGTGCATAATAGAAAATGTTCTTTCTTTTTGTGTAGATTAATCTTCATCTACCATTTAGTACATCTAATATTTAGAGCTTTTATATGCCCTTTTACTAACAAAAATGTGCAATTATTTTTTAAAAGTGGGAAATTTATCTTTCTGAAAAATGCACTCATGTTAAACACATTGACTTAAACAATTTAACCAAAGGCATAGAGAAACAGAAATTCTGCAGGAATTTCTTTTATTGTAAGACATTTTGTTACGTGCAACGTAATTATTAAAAGATTCACTGCCCTAACTGGTTTGGCTCAGTGGATAGAGCATCAGCCTGCGGACTCAAGGGTCCCAGGTTCGATTCTGGTCAAGGGCATGTACCTTGGTTGCGGGCACATCCCTAGTAGGGGGTGTGCAGGAGGCAGCTGATTAATGTTTCTCTCTCATCGATGTTTCTAACTCTCTATCCCTCTCCCTTCCTCTCTGTAAAAATATCAATAAAACATATATTTAAAAGATTCACAAGCCTTTCTTCTCATATCCTTAAAATGTATGGACTATTTGCTCCAGCTTTTGGTATCCATTTGGATGTATTTTTAACCAGCAGCTGCAAACCCTAATATTTGAGAGGAAATGCATGCGTTTGAGTATTCGTTGTGAACACAGTCCAGCCAGAATGGGCCATAAAGACTCCATCTGATCCTTTCCAGCTTAAAAGGCAAGTTTAACCTTTGGTCTCAGCCAAATCCATTATGCAGCTCCCTCAATCAAAATACCACACCCTCTCTCTGCTAGGAAAGAATTTTAAATTATTAGTAAGAGGCCAAATGAACCAGTCTTCAGAGGGATTAGATTCAGCTACTCAGGTAGATATTTATTATTATCTGCTTAGTACATGGCAGTGCCTCCCTTGTTCTTTATTTCTGAAAGTTTTTTGGGGGGCCTCAGTATCTTAAAATAGCAAATTTTGGTACAAGGAAATTAACCTATGAAATATGCAAAAAAAAATGAAAGGACAGTATTTGTTTAAAAGCATCGAACTCTGGAGTCTGTAACAGAAATACTCTGGGAAACATCAATCTAGTGTCTCTTCACAGAAGACTGGGCGTAATGTGAGAGCAACGCTGTACAAACTACTGGGAAATGTGGATTCCTCGCCACAGATTCTGCAACAGTCTAAGCCACAGACGCATTTTCCTTCCATAACTCTGAAGGTTTTCAAAGTTCAGTGCTGCCAACTTGAACAGTTGAAAATGTATATGACATTTATAAGTAACTTTAGAGTACCTTTATTTCTAATTCAAATATAACGTTGAAAATGATTCATCTTGGGAAAATTAGAATTTAAATAAAAATAAAATCAGTGCTCTTAAACAAAAATACATAGACATCACAGATAATTCTTTCACAGTTTATAAATTTGGAAACCAGTTATCAAGTCTCATAAGACACAAGTGGATGAGGAGTGTGAAAAATGGTTCTTATGGATATACTTAATGATGAAATATTTCACAAAATAAAGTATTTTATAAGCATTGAATAAAGATAAACCAATTTAGCAGATGATAATAGTCAAAATATAGTAGAGCCAAACCAAATATTTCTAAGTTTCTGTATTTGGAGCTAAGAAAAAAAAATGAGTACAATTTATTGGATACCCATCAGAAGGCTGCTGTTACTATGATCTAGGATTGTAATGTTTAAGCCTCACATTAAGAAAGAGCTGACGTAGGGCCCTAACCGGTTTGGCTCAGTGGATAGAGAACTGGCTTTTGTACTGAAGGGTCCCAGGTTCGATTCTGGTCAAGGGCATGTGCCTTGGTTGCGGGGACATCCCCAGTAGGGAGTGTGCAGGAGGCAGCTGATTGATGTTTCTCTTTCATCAATGTTTCTAACTCTCTCTCCCTTCCTCTCTGTAAAAAAATCAATAAAATATATTAAGAAAGAAAGAAAGAAAGAACTGACCTAGGAAGTGTTTAAACATGCAGATTCTTGGACCCCAATCCCAGCAATCCTGATGGAATTGAGTGAGGCCAAGGAATCTGCATTTTAGTAGGTTCCTAGCACTGACACAGGCAAGCTCAGGTCCGCTGTTGAGACCTGCTGAGAAACACAGGCATCTGGTCTCTGCTTCCCTGGCAGGAGGGACACATGGATTATTGAAAGAGGGGGAAGGTAGTCAAAAGGAAGAAATGTGATTGATGATGAGGAGAAACAGGAAAATACAGTTCAGCTTCCCCGGGTCAGAGAACTGGATGGACAAGAGTGGTGAACAAATCTTGAGAGACAAGCAGATGCAGACATACCTATAATGGCTTCTCATTTTATACTTATAATGCCATTTAATGTAATGGCATAAAAGCCAAAGTTCTTATGATAGACTCCCAGACTGGCCACCTCTTACTTCTCATTTCTCAGTACTCTACCCTTGACTGACTCCACTTTGGCCTGCTGTTACGTAAAACATGGCCTCCTCCTCTACGTCCTTCACATCTTTCCTTAAATGTCATCTTCTCAAGAGCCCTTCTCTGGCCATCCTATCCGAAATCACAACCCCTGCCCAACCCCACTGACACTCCCTAGTCTCTTCCTGCCTTAATTTTCTCCTTATCATTTATCACCACATTCTATATTTATAAATATTGGTCCTCTTCTGTCTCCTCCCACTGGACTGCAAACTCCATGATGGCAGGGATTTTGGTGTTTTGTTTTCTGGAACATCCCCAGCATTTAGAATGTTACCTAGCACATTGTAACCACTATACAGAATCAAAAAGGGTCCCCATTAGAAAGTATGATAATGTTAACATTCTGCACTGAAATAGAGAAAAAATGTATTTAGAAATTTAGTTTTTAATTCTTTTGTGCTCTTCCAGGAAAAAAGGAAAATAAGAAAGAGCTGAAGTATGGGAATCTTTTCAACTGTTACAACGCTTCAAAGTATATTTGTTTTCCATTCTTCACAGAGGTAAGCATAGGTGGTTATTGTTTAACTCTATCAAAAGCTAATAATTGTGTCACTTTAGCCTTAGGGAAATGAAAAACAGGAAACATTTTATGAAGTGCCTAGATTCATGAGTAATATTTTAAAAGGTTATTTGAAGGGTGTTAGAATTGCTTTCAAGCAGACTTGTGTTAAGGTAATATACAAATCTATTTCTTTTTTCAGAAAGCATTGAAAAACCCAGAACTTAAACAAAACCATTATATAAATAATCCTTAAGCCATGGAAATTATTATTCTAATTAATAATGCCAAGATTACTGCATTATGTCACTGAATGTATTTTTTCCAAATGGCCCAACATATAATGTTAAAAATAGGAATGACCTGCCCGTCTGGCGTGACTCAGTGGTTGAGCATCGACCTATGAACCAGGAGGTCACGGTTCAATTCTGGTCAAGGACACATGCCCGGGATGTGGGCTCAGTCCCCAGTTGGGAGTGTTCAGGAGGCAGCCAATCAGTGATTCTCTCTCATCATTGATGTTTCTATCTCTCTCTTCCACTCCCTTCCTCTCTGAAATAATAAAAAATATTTTTAAAAAGGAAGAAATGACCTTACCAGTTCATTTAAAAAGGAAGGAAAGGCCTTGCACACCTCAAAATCTTTCTTTCACTCCTTCTCCAACTCTTGTTTCTTAGGAAAGTCCATTTTTATCTGTATATTACACTGGACTTTCCTCCCATAATAATGTGAAAATATCTCTGTTATTTGCAGTGACATCATTATGGCCTGCTGGCTTTCCAACTCTTTCACCTAGTGGACAGCTGAATCTTGTTCAAAGGACAGACCTCTGACATTGGGTGGGAACAAGTGCTGGAAGGGGTACGAAAGTATGGTTGAAATGGGAACAGAATGGGGAGCAGGAAGTGGGAAATGTTTCTGACTTTCTGCTTTGTTCTATGTATAGGAGACAAGTGACTGTCTCAAAGTAACATAAATCTCCAAATGTTTCCTCATATTCCATTCCTGTTCCATTCCAACATATTCAACATTCAAAATCCCTTCATCAAATACATTAGCATCAGCAAATAACCGTCATCACATCCACACTGTTTCTAACAAGGTTCTCTATACACCCTCACCAAAATATTTTCTCTTCTTCTCCATCAGTCTCTTTACCTTTCTCACCCTCTCTCCTTCCTTTCTCCCCTCCCTCCTCCTTTCACACACACACACACACACACACACACACACACACACACACACAACTTATCAAAAATATATGCTTGTTAACTGTGCAGCTATTCTGTGTCAAGCAAAGATAAGTGGATTACTTACGTTATCCCATTTAACCCTTAAGCCAACTTTAGATGGTGAATATTTTTATCTCCATGTTACAAAGGAGGAAAATAAGCCAAAGAAAAGTTAGGTAAATTTCCTAGTCACACTTAGTGACCAGAGAGGCTACAACAGATCTGACTGACTCCAAAATCTATGCTTTTAACCACCACATATACGGCCTCTCCTCAACCCCTACCATGTCCAACAAATGATTGTACTTGAAAAGTTTCCTGACTTTTGGGTGAAAAATAATCACATAAATTAGAATGCCTGACACATGTACTATTTAAGGCCTTCTGAATGTTTTTTTTCAGTCCAATTAATACTTTTGGCTATTTATAAAATACCATGAAGTATTTTAAGGACAAAAGAAACATTTTCATGCAATCTTATGTAATGATGTGCCATTTAGACCTAATCCTTTTAGCCCAGAGATGGAAGACTGACACTCTAAACATAACTCATTGTGTTCTTTTGTGCTGCCATAACAAAGTATTTAAAGGATGGAATTCTGGGGGGGCAGATGGACTTCTTGGCATCACTATACTTGCATCACAGAAATTGTTTTGTTTCAAAGAATTCAAACAAGATGCCTGACATTTCTCAGAAGATATTTCTACTTATAAATATGGTAACTTGTTAGGTGGGGATGCTAAGAAACAATAACCAATGTTTTTAAGGTGGTTTTTTTTTATCTTGCTTATGATATGTAAGAAGGGCATTTACTGAATCTAATCATAGCTCAGAGTCTAGATAGTTGGCCTTGGTATATAATATTCCTATAGCTGCTCCCATCCACATGAAGAATTCCTCTGTATTTTGTGGCACAAGAATAAAAACACTCTACTCTATACATAAAATAACATGGAACAGAAAAAGATGTTCAACTATATATCTGTGTTGCTCCCTGGAATAAAGAACTGGGAGAGCATCCATAGTTCTTCCAGATCACTTGCTTGCCAGATGTTTCTTGAGACTGCTATAAGGTTATCATAACTCTACATGCTTTTGGAATATGGGAACCTGACTGTTATTCAAAAATTCAAATAAAAATTCTGATAATTATGAATTTCCCTTGGGCCTAGAATATTCAAAAAATGAAAAGGACCAAAAAAAAAAGAAATGTACACGAGGTCAGCCCTTTGCTTTTAGACAAATGAGTGCTTACATCACCCCAAGTAGCCAATAGTGTCTCTTCTCTTCTTGAAGGTCCCAGGGATAAAGACCTCAATGTTGTCTCACTAGTTGTAGTATCACCCACTTTCCTTTCCTTTCTTTACCAAAATCCATGATTTCAACAAACACTTATAGAGCACCCTTTGCATTTCTGGCATTACCACAAGGGGTGGTGATACCAGAGAAAGTAAGACAGCAAGGCCCCTTGTGGGTTTTTAAAAATGGCTGCAAACTTCTTAGACTTTCCTCACATTGAGAGGTGGGTGTACATTCCCTCACTTTGAATCAGCATGGGTTTGTAACTACTTTGACTACTAGAGTACAATTGATGTTCTGTGACCTCTGAGGCCAAATCACAAAAGGTGATACAGCTTTCACCCTGCTCATGAGAACACTGACTTTTGGGGTCCTGAGTTTCCATGTAAGAAATCCAACTATCCAAAGTCACCAAGATGTTGGGGAAGCTATGTCATATGTAGGGGCCATCTCTGTATGTTCTGGCTGACAGCTGAGCTGGGCTCCCAATGGACAGCTAGCATCAACTGCCAGCCATGAGAGTGAGCCTTCTTGGACATCCAGCCTAGTCGAGCCTTCAAATGTCTGTAGTCCTTCAGGTGGGATCTGTTCACCTGAGTCCTGCCCCAAATTACTGTCATACAAAATCATGAGCAAAACAGAATGAATGTTATTTTTTACTGATCGATTTTAGGTGAATTTGCTATGTAGCAGGAGTAATATTTTGTTACCCGAAAGTAGGCATTACCACGACCATTGAGCTGCAATGTAGCTATCAGTGAAGGCTTGAAGGAGGGTATGAGAAATGTTATTGGGGGCTAGAAGATAGAATAAGATGTTGGATATATAGTGGTGGAAAGTTTGGGAAAATCATCACCTACAGAAAATAGAAATGTCTCTATGAATGAATTGATCTGGCTAAGGATATTTCTAGGCTAATTTCTTTTAGCTGCATGTCATAAAATGAAGATAAAAAGATATGAGCTAAAGAAGAAATTAGAGAATGTAATCTAGTGTACAGTTACTAGGTGAGCAGCCTCTACTGACATCCCACTTCCAAGCAGAATGTAGAACAAATAAGAATGGCCCTTGTTTGAAAATAAGATTCGAAAGACTCCAAAAGCAAGGAGCCTTAGGGCAAAGGTCAAATCCAGGGTGCTGTCAGGAAAAGGTAAATATGAAGGGCAAATATTTAGGGTACTGTTAGGTTAAATATGAAGGAAGATAATGGGAATTTAGAGTAAATATAAAGCAAAGTGTGTGACTGCAAAACCCTTTTAAAGACATTGAAAGATTTAAGGTGATCTTTTCAAAAAGCCTTTTATGGATATTCAGGATGTGCCTCGTAGACCCTCTATTTTCAATTGAACAATAGCCTTTATAAGAATCTTAAAGGAATAGATCCACAACAGTGTCATAGAGAATCCAAGGTAGAGATCTACTCTGATTTTCAGTTTGTGCAGAGAGACACACTGTTCAAGATTGAATATTTTAAGCAAAAAGCAAAACCATAAGCCAAAACCATCCAAGTCACAGGTGAGGGTTTGTTGTTGTTTTTTTTAAGTTTACCTCAAGAGATTCTAAAATACAACATTCTCTTTGGAAGGGGAAGCACATACATGGCCATTGTGATTTTGCTGACCCAAGGCGCCTACCAAGCTCCATTTGTTGAGACAGAATCCCTCAGATGCAGGACATCTACTGTTGAAGCAGTTATCAGCAAGCATTGGAACCCTCATTAGAGGCTGCTAACCTAGTAAGTGTACACTGGATTACATTCTCAGATAAGTCCGATTTTACTGAACAGACAGGCGATTTTTGAGTTTGAAGAGAACATGCTGCGTAGCAGTAGTGGCAGGTTGCGGAGGCAGAGATGTGAAGGAGATTAAAGTGTATGGGTTTGGCATTAATAGGTACACATGACCTCAGTCCTGTCAGAACTTCATCTTTGTGATGAAATACTTGACAGCATCGTAAAGCTCACCTGATAGTGGTGGAGAGTTGCTGGGACTCGCACATCCATGCCCCCACCATGCACCAACAGGAAGCAGAAAAGTTCCCTGGAAAATGTGTTAATACTAGAGAGTCTTTTGCAATGAGCCAAATAACAAGGTGCTATTGAACAGTTTGGAAAATCAGATTCAGTTAAAGCATGTTATTACAAGAGTAAAATACAGTAGGGCATTATTCAAGAAGATTTTTAATTCACAGGAGATCTAAATTGTCCTTCTTAGCAAAGCTTTAGTGAAGAAGAGAAAGAGAGAGGTGACAGATGTCTTTATGGAGCCCAACTAAATGACAGAGTTGAACTGGAGGCCTTATTTGATACATGAAGAGATATAGTTGATCATGCTGGTATATCAGCTTTCCTAGTAAATCAACTTTTCTGCAAATAAGGTCACAAGGAGTGGTCTCCAACCTCCATTTCTGATCTGAAACCCAGCAAAAGTGGGAGCTCTGGTGAGAGACTGTGTCCATTAACTTG